AAACAAATTTCATAATAAATTGTAAAAAAAAATTCACTTTAATGAGCCAAACGAACACTAAATTTTGATAAAAAAATGATTTTTTAGGAAATAAATTTTTTTTCATTTTTTTTTTTTTTTACTTTTGACAATGGAAACAAATTTTATAACCAATTGCGGAAAAAATATATCACTTTAATGTACAATTTTCATGTAAAATAAAACTAAACGAACACAAAAGGAAAATTATATCAATTAAACACACTAAATTAACAATTCCCTACAAAACAATTTCTAGGCAATTAGGGGTCGTTCTCTTTGCCGTTTTCTGTTTTTGATTTTTCAAAAAGGTGAAAACGCGTTCTCTTATTCATTTTCGAAAACAAGTACACAAAAAAAATTTGTGAAGAAAACAGAAAAAGACCAAAAAGCCGTTTTGGGCATTTTCTTTACAAACGCAGCACCAAGTTAGAAAACACGGGAAACGGCGAAAACACTTCATCCTTTCTACTGCCAAACCACACTCTACCACCACTTTCCAAGCCCCTAAACTCCGGCCAACCTCCTCCAAAACAGCCGAATTAATATATCATTGTGAAGCCCTCAATTCTCTCTTCAATTACCACACAAACAACAATTCAATCATAATGAGAAATATGAAGCCAAACTCACCGAATTTTTCGCAGACTGCCTTAATTTCTCCTACCAATTCAGCAACTTCTGAACGAAATTGACCAAGACCCATATCTGGGCTAGGTGCGCCAGGTGAAGAGGGACCTAGCCCAAGTGGTCCGAGATCGTGGGTGTCCTTGCCATCGCCAGAATTTAGTTTCTTCGCTGCAGATGTCGCGATGTTCGCGACTGGCGATTTTTCCAGATTGCAAATGAAGTTTTCTGTTGTTGTTTGCTGTGAATTGGTGGCATGGTTGTGGTCGTCTGGTGTTGGGGAGTTGTCTGGAGGTGTGTTCCAACCATGGGGGTGGTCGGAATCTTGATTTCCTGCAATTTTCAGTTGAGAAGGCAGCGACAGCGAACTTTGAACACGAATTCCGACCTATGAAGTTATTGGAATTGGGTTAAGTTTGGTAGTACGTGAAGCTTGAAGTGAGGGCTATCGACCAGTGGTAATGTCCGGGGACTTTGGTAGCCGGAGCTCACCAGAGTTTGGCTTCATTTTATGGTGGGTGATGGTCGGTTTGTGAGAATGGAAAATAATGAAAATAATGTAAATACCATTTGAGAAAATGTTTTGAGAAATACTTTTACAAAATGACAAAAAGAATACATGTTCAATAATCTCAAAATGTACACTCAAAACATAAAATACAAAATGAATTCGAAACTCAAAACAGAAACACAAAGAGAACGACCCCTTACTTTCCCTGAAATTCATTTTCTTTTCATCAATTTTCCACCCTTGCAATCAAATGCACCCTTAATGTTTAATGTTTTTTTGTGGTATATGGCATCTCTCTCACCAAGATCTCACCTAAGCCGAAGCCAAGTGTCAATATGCGCGCACATGAACCAGGCGGGTCATTTTTCTTTTAAAAACGGAAGTTGTCATGTATGGCCAACCCATGGGCCTATGCAGAACAGACGGTGCAGGTCCAGCCCAGTTGATGAAATAGCCATTGAGAAAATGACAAGACTGACCTATCATGCACATACATAAAGCGAAAATACCACTGATGAAAGCAAAACCTGACCATGTTTAATTGCTCTTTCTTTTCCATCAAAGATGAAAATTAAAATCAATTTCTATATTTTTGCATATTTGATTGACTAAATTTCCAATGGAATTGATTTTTTGATTTTTGAGGAAAAGCTTTTCCCGTTAGTTTGGTGAGAAAAATTTTTCTAGGCAAATTTTTTTTTTGCAATGAAAACAATTTTTTTTTGCATATCTCCAATTGTAATAAATTATATCCTTAATAGACAATTTTCATAAAAACAAAGCCAGACGAACATCAAAAGATCCAAAATTCCAATATTTTCAAGTGAAACATTATATCAATCAAACACAATTAATTGACAATTCCCAAAGAAACAAGTTCTAAGCAATTCAATTCCATGGAATTCATTTTCTTTCCACCCAAATTCCATTCTAGCAATCAAACCCTTAAAAAAAGAATTTGCAGTTGCACGTGATTGATTTCAAAATATTCAATTCGAGGATAAAAAATAAATTTCTCAAATTGACACTAAATAAAGAATTTCTCATACAACTAATATTGACATATTGTCCCCCAAAACGGATTTCAAAACACGATAATCGGGAGAAAGATAGAGATGCAGTAAAACAAGAAATATTACAACCACTCTCAAAACTACAAATGACCTATTAAAGTGACAGAGAAAGTAAAGTGTATCGAAACAAAGAAAGGTCATTACATTCTCATAATCCATAAAATAGCAAGAATGAGAATTGGATGGGCCAAGACATGGAATTTAGAATTACATCATCCCTTCCTTTCATAACCACGCCTCAAAACTTCTCCACATCAACAAACAGAGTTCACTTGAAACACAACACGAAAACTGAATGAGGAAAAGAAAAACTCACCATTAACGAAATAGATTATCATCTTAGAAGCACTTTCGGTGGACAATCGACGGACCAGACTCGTCGTATTCACCCTTTGAAATCCACATCTGTTTCAACTCAATATAAAGTATCAATAATAATTCATGAAGTCTTTGACTGAAATTCATTGGGAAAGGAGAAGATTTAAATAGAAATACGAAAAATTGACCGACCTGCTGGAAGGTGCTGAGGGATGCAAGAATTGATCCTCCAATCCAGACACTGTATTTTCTCTCTGGCGGGGCAACAACCTTGATCTTCATGCTGCTGGGAGCCAAGGCAGTGATTTCCTTGCTCATTCGATCAGCAATGCCTGGGAACATGGTCGAACCACCACTGAGAACAATGTTACCATAGAGATCCTTCCTGATATCAACATCACACTTCATGATGGAGTTGTAGGTAGTCTCATGGATTCCTGAAGATTCCATTCCAATGAAAGAAGGCTGGAAGAGAACTTCTGGGCAGCGGAATCTCTCAGCCCCAATTGTAATAACCTGTCCATCAGGCAATTCATAGTTCTTCTCAACAGATGAGCTGCTCTTAGCTGTCTCAAGTTCCTGCTCATAGTCAAGAGCCACATAAGCAAGCTTCTCCTTCATGTCACGAACGATTTCCCGTTCAGCAGAAGTGGTGAACATGTAACCCCTTTCGGTGAGGATCTTCATGAGGTAGTCTGTGAGGTCACGACCAGCAAGATCCAGACGAAGGATGGCATGAGGCAGTGCATAGCCCTCATAAATGGGTACTGTGTGACTCACACCATCACCAGAATCCAGAACAATACCTGTTCAAATATACAGATTCACATGGAATTAAAATAAAGCTGTTAAAATACATAAAGAAAAAAATACACAAATTCAGATTTCATGAACTCATACGCACCAGTTGTACGACCACTGGCATATAGAGAAAGGACAGCCTGGATAGCAACATACATGGCGGGAACGTTGAAGGTCTCAAACATGATCTGGGTCATCTTCTCTCTGTTGGCCTTGGGGTTGAGTGGCGCTTCAGTTAGAAGCACAGGGTGCTCCTCAGGAGCAACACGAAGCTCGTTGTAGAAAGTGTGATGCCAGATCTTCTCCATATCATCCCAGTTGCTGACTATACCATGCTCGATGGGATATTTCAAGGTCAGGATACCTCTCTTAGATTGAGCTTCATCGCCCACGTAAGCATCCTTCTGTCCCATCCCAACCATAACACCAGTATGTCGAGGCCGACCCACGATACTCGGGAAAACTGCCCTGGGAGCATCATCACCGGCAAAACCAGCCTGCAGGAGTAACATTATAAAAGTCCCTTAGAATTAATTCCATAAAAAATTGAATACAGAAGACTAGAGAATTTTAAAATGTTTACCAACCTTCACCATTCCAGTTCCATTGTCACAAACAAGGGGCTGAATATCCTCTCCATCGGCCATTTTCTATGAACCGGAAACCATAACACAAAACCAATATAGAATCATGAGCTAATTAAAGAATGTCATGTACTGTTGCAGTATATTTAGACAAATGCATTGCATAAACTGAAACGATGTCAAATGACATGGTGATAAGTTCTCGTGCTCCATAATGTATCAGACATAGGGAGAAAGTCATGAGTACATATCCGAATCTCAACCATCGCCACCATTAACTTATGCAAAACTCAAAATCAAAGAGTTATTTTTCGACAGAGTAAACTTCAATCTACGTCAAGATAGAGCAGATCTGCAACGACAGCCGACAGATCGAACAGAGTGTTCTATTAAAACAGCAGATCGGAATCGTATAAAGCTGTTAAAATAAAAGTCCCTCAATCAAACCCTTTCGTTCAATATAAATCCAAACAAAAGGTTAAAACGCCTGTCTATTTACACAAACATATTTCAGATCTCAACATCGGCAATCAAACCAGATCAATCGAACAATAATTTGTTTCTGCTCAAGGAAATTCAATAACAGACAAAGAAGATACAATTGAGATAAAAATAACAAAAATTACCTTGAATTGGAGAGAAATATTATATAAAGAGAGAAATTGGAGATTAATTCAAAGCCAAAAATCCGATTAGAGAAATGCCCAGTTCGATTTGATTTCTTCTTCGCTCTCTCTCTGTGATTGTGGCCGCCTCGTTGGGAACGCCAAATGAGGAAATGAAGGGATCACATAAAGCAAATGAGCTGTGATTGAGAAAGAGCGAGAACTGTCTATTATTATGAATTTTGTATTTTTGGGTTTCATAAATGGTTTATAAAAATATTTAAAATTTGATTAAGAATTTGTTTGAGCTTCGTCATTTTGCTAAAATGCATTTTAAAATAATGATTTGATGAAAAATATGTGATTAAAAAAAAAAGAAAAAAATTTGATTCACGTATAATATTATTTTATTGAAAAATGTATGATTAAAAATAAGAAAGAGAAAAATGTATTTTAAAAATAATGAGACCAGACAACGACTAAAATTCAAAGTCTATAATAAAACGAATAATCTTATTTATCATTATAATAATAACGATAATGTTATGATTTATATAGAATAATGTGATTTGACAGTTTATTTTTTATGAGAGACGGAGAGGAAAGAGAGAAATTTGAAGGATAATGGGTTATCACATACCAATTTTACGTCGTCATCATGATAAATAGCATCAAATTCAAACATATATTTCATAATATCTACAACTTTTCAATCACATATTTATCAATTTTATTAAATCTACTAAAAATCATATTTTAACATATACCAAATTATATGGGCTTGATTTTGATTGATTTTATAAATATAAATTGGGAAAATTACATATTTAAGAGAATAAGTTTAGCCTATTTCAAAAATAAGAACACAAGTTTAAAGTTACTAAAATCAGATTTTTTTTAAAATTTTTATTTATGAAATAATAAATTATTAAATTAATTTATTATTAAATATTTAATTATAATATAATATAATTAACACATCCTACCTTCACCACCCCTACCGCTCCGGCGACCGTTCCGAACAACGCCCTACTCCGGCGAACTTTCCGACGATCGTTCCGGCGACTACTCTGATTCCGGCGACCGTTCCGGCGTCGATTTTTCCGGTCCGCTATATTTTTTTGTACGGTTAACTTTTTTTTTTTACGGTCACAACCCAAGTCACATGTCACAAGTCACAGCTCAGG